CTGATGCCATTTAGTTGCAGCCTCAGGAGCAAAGACAGCATTTTTTAAAGCAGCTGCCATACTAAAAAGCAGGATTTCTCCTCTTTTCCTTTGCAATATTGTTTGCAAAGTCTTAATATCAAAAGCAGGTGTTTTCTGAGCCCAGGATGATCCAATGACCAGTAGTTATTTTCTATAACCAGCTAGATTTTTTTTTCTGTTTTGAATATTTTGAATGATGTTTTGTGGAACACATTTACAAGAAGAGATCATTCAGTATGAGTTTTAACCACCTGCCTGTTTTCCCCACCAAATCTTAGATTGTTGGGGAGCCTAAGGAATGTTTCTTTTGATTTTTCTTTTTTTTTTAATAAATACATGGTTTGTGAAATGTACCATGTGCATCATGGGAACTACTGAAGAAATGAAACTCAAATTGTAACATTTCAGGAGTCAATAATACAACTGAACACTTAAATAGGGTGGTGAGACTGCTGAGGCTCTCCATTGATAAAGAAATAAAATCTTAATTATTGACTATAACTAGGCAGGAAAATATTCCTCTGATGTAATTCAGAGTTGCATCAGAAGAGTTGTATCAGCCATTACTTTTAGTGTGTGCTGTTTGGAGGGATGGCAGATTTCCACTGTGCTCTACTACATCACTATTAGCACAGGGATGCTCTGCCAGTGGCATATCATAGATCAGCCTCCAAATTTTCAAGAACAAAATGTACTGGCAGCATCAAATAGGCAGGAACACTGAGGAGAGAAAATGCTTTGGCATTATTGAGTAGTGCTTCTGTCCTTATACATGAAAATGAAAAGAAAGGCAATTGAATCTTCCCTACAGCATATTCAAAACACAGTGGTTTTTCTCTGTGTTTTCTCATACAGGGAAAATACAATTTATATCCAGGAGTTATGGGCCAGAGGAGGCTATTGACTTTAACACCAGGAAATGGGCATATTTCACTACGATCATTTTTATCATCTCAGGCTTGCAGGTAATAGCAGAGAAAATGTAATAGAAAAACACTGAAAATATCCCAATCCCTCACAAGCACAGAAAATAGGATAATAAAACCAACTGAATGTGACTTCAGTTCTTGATGGTCGATTAAACTCCCCCAACAAGGTGCACACGGAATCAAAACTGGCTTCCCGGGGTGCAGCCAACACTACCCGTGCTCTCTAAAGACCCCAGTCTGCCCAGCCCTGCTCATGATTCCAGCAAGAACGTCCCTTAATGTGAACTGGGATGGGATTTTGTCAGATGGCAGCATCTGCCTGGCACAAAACCATCTTGCTTTGCAGCAGCCACTGAGCAGCTGCTCGTGACTCTGCAGTTTTGCTTCTGAAACCAGAATTCTCTCACTGGGGGGATGGAGAGCTCTTGAGGCATCTGTTCAATTCTCCTCCCACACACACCTCTTTTTTTTTTTTTTTTTTTTTTAAGATTTGATTGAACAGTCTTTTTAATCTGCAATAATTGTGGCTTGACTCTGTGATCAGCTCTCGCTGCTGCTTCTCTGCCCAGGCACTGCTCCCCACCAAATCATACAGTGAGACTGGGCATGGAACTGGAGAGAAAGCAGCTGAAATGACCTAACAACACTGCAAACAACATAAAAGGAGAAAAACAGTCTCTTCCAGACCATGGAACTACATGAAGACTAGTCCTGGCACATAAGAGAGCACGAGATATTTTTTGGTGGAACAGCAAGGTTATCATATGGCTATACAGTGGTGTGGGCATTTAGCACTTTTATTTGGGACAGAAAGGATTCTATCTGATTCACTTCCTTCCCAAAGAGCACTATTTATGTGTTTATGTATGCATACTCCTGTTATAATCTTTGTTTTCCATAAAATAATTCCAAACATGTATCAAATTAACTATTATATGTGCTATGATGAGAAAGTAACTTATTCAGATGACTTATCATCCAATAATGTTTATTTTCCCTTAAGAATTTTATAAGATAATTTTAAATACCTCTTTGAGAAACCTGAGTCTGAAATAATTTTAAATAACCCATTGATGAAAGCATTAGAAGGCTTTCTAAATACATATGTCTCCCTCTCTGGAGATATTCAAAACCCACCTGGACAGGTTCTTGTGTCACCTGCTGTAGGTGACCCTTCCTAGGAGGAGGGTTGGACTGATCTCCAGGTCCCTTCCAACCCTCACTGTTCTGTGATGTAGGGTCATCTTTAACAGATGCCATAATTGTTCCATAAAGCTTTTCCTAGAAAGCTAATATAACTTGCTTTTCTAATTTTCATAATCTTGTAAACACTGTTTGCTTGCACCAGCTCAACTTCAATGATTCTTAAATGCACACACACACACAGAGGCAGTAGAGGGGAGTGCTTTATAATTTGCTTGAAAAGCAAACAAATCCATCACAGAGAGAAGTGCAGCACATTCCCTTACTTGGAATTTAACACTTAGTTGGTACCAGGCAAACACAGTCTCCCAGACACATGGATAAACAGAGTTTGCCTGAACATATGGGAGAAAACATTGCTGTAAATATTTCCTTTGATTTGTGTTTTTCAGCAGCCTGCCTTGTTTTTAATAAATAAGTTATTTAATCATACTTCTATTTCCATAAGGTTAGATCATCATCTTAATACCTGCTTGTAAAAAGACAGAATCAGGCACTCCTCTATCTCTCTCAATACCTCTTATATCATTGTGTTGATCAAACCTGAGCATTACCTAAATGGGTTTCATGTGCTGAGAAAACGAGAAATATGGATTTGCAGTGTATAGCCCAGGGCAATGGGCTATAAACTGCAGTCTGGATCTGAGCCATGAATAAATTTTATATTATTATTATTATTATTATTATTATTATTATTATTATTATTATTATGATTATTGTTATTGTTATTGTTATTATTGTTATTGTTATTATTATTATGTTCTCTATGTCAATGTCTCACACTGCTGCAGGAATACAAACACAAATAGGAAATATCTCTTGCTTACCTTTTTGTGGATCCCCAAAGCAAGTCTACTATTACTGTAAGACCAAGAGGAAGGTTGGAGTGTTGAGCCCTGGTCCTCTGCCAGCCTGTGCACACAGTGCTCCACCACACTGGAGTAAACCAACACCACAAACCCAGCTACTCACTGTCCTTTCACAGAATGACACCAAATACTCAGCTGGACAGGGATGCTGGAGATCATCTACTTCTGGTCAACCTTCTGGTCACAGAAATGTCAGGTTTGGGGGAGCAGCTGAGCAGGAGTTTTGTAAGTCAGGGTTTTCCAGCTACTTTGGGAACCTGAGCCTATTCATGAATATGGGAAGAGCTGGAAAAGGCCTTTAGACAGAGAATACTGCCTGAGTATCTCTTGTGTTAGAATTCAGTGTCAAAATCAAACCAATAACAAACAATTAGGATTGTGTTTCATTTTGTTAGATAGCAAACTATATGCACCTGCATTTTCTTCCTCCTCCTCCTCCTTTCCTCTTTTTGCCTCTCCTTCCCCCACTTATTTATGCACCATTTTCCCCATCCTGTATCAGCACAGCATCTCATGGCAAAGCAGCACCTGGTTTTTCTCTGGGGACAGACATGATCACCCTCATTGCCATCCGAGCATGAAACCTGGTATTCTGATTTTGAATTAGGATATATAAGTTCACCACGATGGACCAGTAACCTCAAACACTACAGGCCTTTCTGAAGCTTCGAGCTGATGCAAAGGAATTTTGTTCCTGTCATTCTTCTAAGTTCACAGGTACAACTCACATCCCTGCAGTGCTGTGAAAAGATTTCACAAACACTCTTGAGAGGGTGCAGCTCAGAAAATGGGCCTCTCAAGCTCACAGAAGCTCAAACACAGCATTTAAAACACACTGAACAATGCCAGTCCTCTTTCTTACTAGTGCCTCATCCCTGATCATTTTCGGCAGAGATGAAGAGTCCTGCCAAAAGTACATGGACTAATAAAGTTATGTGTGTGGGAAGGAGGTAAATGAGTGACAGAGAATCAAAAGGAAAATATTTTCTGATTGCTGCCTGTAGCGAGCTCACAAAATCAAAGCAGAAAACAATTTAACTCCAAAGTAGCTCTAAAGCTCCATTAATCCAAGAAATCTGCCGCCTAAGAAACAACTGTCTCCTGTTGGGTTTTTTTGTTGAATTTACTGGGTTGGATACATTCTTATGTATCTTTTCTCACAGTGTAGTACTATTTCATTTTCAAATATTACTTGTCACACAGAATTTGTGAGTAAAAGCTGGAAATCTGGGTGAGAAGAAGGGAAAATCCATAATGTGAAGCATTTTACCTTTAAAAACGAGATTATGTGACACAGTTAGTCACCTCACACCTTGTCTGCTTGGATAACTCCTAACCAAAGTGCAAGGATGCTGTATGATCACAGGCTGCATTGAAGTTTAGGGAACAACTGCTTTAACCTGAAGCTGAAAAAAAAAGAGGAGGAACTCTGCTGGGCTGAGGGTCTGAGCAGCAGAGTGGGGATTCCCTCCTTTTGCCCTATGCATGTGCACAGTTCTGAAAGTCTTAAGTGGCAAGATGAGTCCTGGCCTGAAATCCCCAGTTTTAGAAAGCTTCAAAGACCTTTTTTCTGATCGTGACAGAGGGAGAAGGAGCTGGAAAAATCTAAATGCAGAGGTGTCTCATCTGGGCCAGTGACAGGAGAACAGTCTTACAGAACTGTTGGTCTGAGGGCCAATATCAAACTAATTGTTTCATAAGCAAATTCACTTCATCCATTTTACTTATTCTGTACCTAGTCATTCCAGAAGAATTCCCTGCAGTACTCCCATCAACCATTCCCACCACTGTACAGAGCAGGGTGTGTTTCTGGACGTTGCACTGACTCAGCCAGGCAGGAATTAAAACATTCCGGGCTGACTCAGTGCCTGATCCCGAAGATTTACAGATACCTTGACATTAAAATATCCCAGTGGGAATCCAGAGCCAGATCTAATGACCTCAGGTGAAAATAAAGAAAGCTGTTACATTCAGACCATTATTGTTCATGCTGCTTTGTGAATTTATTTCTTTAAATTTTCCACTTGTGCTCCTGCCAAGAGAGATCTATTAGACAGAAAGCAGCAAGAGTAAAACTTTATCATTTTGTTTCAAACTATAAAATAATTTACATCACATATTTTACTTACTTTTGTCTTTTTGTTTGTTTTTTTTTTGAAACCACAAACATTCCAGCATCACACTGTAGGAATAAGAATAACAATAGAAAGCATAACCTTTTGCATAGTATTAAATGAACAGACAGAGTAAGTTCTTTATTTACAATTATTGTCTAGATAAAAAAATTCATAAAAACAGATGAATGAACATATATTAATAACCCCTAGTGGGATGGATTGCCAATGTACCACTGTATTGTTGTCCACAAATCTCATGCTGCTAAGTACAGTACGTAGAGAGCGAGCATTTATATATTGCAGGGAATTTTAACAAACTGATCATTTTGGTTTTTGATCCATTGTTCCCATCACAGAGAGGTCAAGCAATAAAAGAAAGGAATTGTGATGCACGACTTGTAGTTGAAAGGTCATAGCTATTCTGCTTTTAAAAAAAAAAAAGTCTATCATTTATCATATACATAAAGCACAGTCTCTGCTCACAAAAGCCCAAGTTTTCTATGCATCTCAGTTTATATATGTTTTACTATATATACACAGAATGCAGTGTTCATTTTCTTAACAGTTTTCAAGTCTGCAAATGGTACCTTAGGGAGGGGTACTCCTACAGGAAAATTTAAAAAAAAAAAAAAACAAAAACACAAGAAAAAATATGAAGAGTGTTTGAAAATAAAAAGGCAAAGAGTCAGTGTTAAGATGTTGAAAATAAATTGTTCCAGAATTAATAGCTTCTGTAGATGATCAAGTCCAAAGCTAGAGGCTTCCCTGTAAATAGATAACACTTTTTTTTCTTCTGAATATGATATCCCAAGTAGGCCATAGAAACCCAATACATGTTGTACAAAGGTTAATCACCGTATTTACAAAGCGAACAATCCTGACTGAGTTTTAATCACTTTGTTGCTAGGAGTCAGCTAAAATAATTATGGTTTCATGCTAGCTTGATACTGGTAAGAAAAGGGTCACACTATCTGTTGAACAGAGAGCTGTAAGTGCCTTCAAAGGCCTGTTCTGTTGGTCAGTGAGAAGTTTGGATCAGAGAGCGAACTACGTTTGAGCCAAAAACATTCAAGAGCTTCTACTCAAAAGTCCGAAGCTGGCAAGTCAAGCTGATTAGAACTTTACCTGGCTGATAAGTCTTGATGCACCCTGAAAACATCTGCTCAGTTCAGTCTGCAGTTTGGCCATGAGTCTAATCTTGGTTTGGAGAGTTCTGGCTTGGTTTAGTTCTCGTGACTGCAGAGATGAACCCCTTTTACGAGCCAACTTTTAAGACAAAACCAGTAACAGTACCTCAACAAATCGGTTTATCAAGCTAGTTTGAGAGTGTTCTCCAACACACCTGGCAGAATCAACTGTGTAATTCAAAATGTCTTTTGCACTGTACAGTTATGGAAAAGATCATATGCTGAAAAGTCTCCAAGCAAACTTTATATTAAATACAAAAATTATTTATGAAAAATCTGTGATCCACAAAGTGCTTAGCATTCAAGTGGTTGACATAGCAATTATATAAGCTCATAAATTTTAAGCTTTTTCAGGGCTGTTACCATCTTGAAAAATATTTTCCACCTCCCATACTGCAGGTTTGCAAAACAGCTTTCTTCTTAGAAAGCTCAAGGTAAAATAATGTATTACTGTGTTACAGTATACCTTGTGACTACAGGAAGACAAGCTTGGTTAAAAAAAAAAAAATCACACAAAGCACATCTCAATACACAATTAATAAAGATTCATTCAGTCCTAATAGTGCAGAAATTATATTTTTCTTTAAAAAAAAAATCAAAGCAACAACCTACAGTGATTCTCATCCAAAATGCCAACAGCCCATACTTTGCAAGTAATAAGGAAATAAATGCCTAAATTACTAATTGAAAAGGATTAAATGCCGTATATCACAGTATTTTAACATTTGTTTTATCTCCATATAGACAAACCAAATATAACTTATTTTAAATTATAAACTCATTTAATATCTCTCTAAAGATATTTTTGGAAGCCATTGCTGCATGTTTAAAGAATGAAATAGCCTCCATTATTGTATGTTGCACCAAAACAAATTCAAGCAGATTATCAGAGGGACCAACAAAAAAAAAAGGGGGGGAGGAAAAAAAAAAGAGAGAACCTGATCATTTTGATTTTTATTTGAAACAAAGGAAGCCTGGTTTACCTCCCTGTATATAGGATCACAATGCTACATCCAATGTGTTATATTTTGGCTTCTTTTGTTATTTACTAGCAGTATCTACATTATTTAACAAAAAAAAAAATAAATAAAATCAGGCAGAAATCAGAACATGGTTGTAATAAAATATCCAGGGTGCGATATTACAGACATTTTCAATGAGCTGAGCTGAGCCATTTTTATACTACTTCGGCAGGAAGTGCTTTCTTAACCCTACAAATAGTTAAGGATATTTATCTACAGGTTTGTAAACAAATTACATTCTTTTTTAGGACATAAATAAGTTAAAATAGTCAGAGCAATTTGAGCAGAAACAAGGCAACATGCCAACAAAGAAACTTTATATATATATAACTATATATATATAGATAGATATATACATATATATAATTAATTATCTATATACTTATATGTATATATCTCTATATATAGTCTCATAAATGTTTAAGTTCCTCTGTCCAACTGGTGCAAATCTACTGTGCAAGTTAAGCTTCGCAACTTCAAAAAAGTTATTTAAATTAATCTATACAATTGAGTCCATGCCACACAAGCATTTCAAAAAACTCACAGACCAGTGAATTGGATAAATAGCCTCAGAAAGAAGTCCTCTGCAGTTCCTGCTTAAGGAGGAAAAAAAAAAAAACCAAAAAGGAAATAAAAACAAACAAAAAGAGAGAAAGAAGGGCCAGCAGTGTACAGTACATTCATGCAGGAGGATTTTTTTTTGTTTGTTTTTTTGTTTTTCTGAAAGGGAACGGGGGGGTATGTAAATCAGCCATTCATTCTTTCCCCAAAACCATTGTGATCAACAATTCATTCACTTGTCTCAGAGTGAATAAGAGTTCAAACAGCTTTTCAGCCAGCAATGTTTTTTAATATATATATTTATATATATTTCGGTTGCTGTGGGGGGAGTTTTATTTTATTTAATTTTAATTATTTTTTTTTTCTTTTTTTTTTGCAGTGACCTTTTCAGCTAAAGTGATGTCTCCAGGCTATGTATTGGGCTTCCTGGACTAGAAGAGGTAGCTGATTTACTTGTATCAGTTGTAAGATTTATTCCACTGTCGATAGCACTGTTGTTCTTGTTCAGCGAAGACGGTGGACTCGAGTTTTTCTTGAGAGCAGGGTCTTCTTCTAGGTCTGTGTCATCAATGAGTGGGATGTGGGGCTGGGAATCTTCTATCCTAAATTCAGGATGAGTCATAAAGTTGTGAATAGAGGTTCTAGATTCTGGTTTTTCTAAACCTTCATAGAGAGAGCTACGGAATGCCTTCACGACGCGGATCTGGGGGGAGAAAAGGAAAGGGGTGTCAGAGGCGGAACCTGCCCGGGGGGCAGCACCGTGTTAGAGAATAAATACTTTGTGAAAAATGTAGCATATGGTTAGGGCAGTGCAGGCAGCTGAAGTCCAAAGTCTCTGGATGTTATATGCATAAACGAGTGGCTCGAGTTATGTGCATTTTTGGAATATCTGTACCGACTGCAACATTAAAATAAATCAGGTTTAAAGCCATCAAAGAACTGATGGGGAGTACTGGTTAAAGAAAGCCAACGTCCACTCGTGTGGTACATCCCTAGTAAAAGACAAGCCATGTTAATTGTAATGCAAATGTAAAACCATGCATGTTGATAGTTTTTGCAGTGAGTAAGTAGGAAGGCTTTTTTTTAATTCAAAAAAGTCTCTTTTTGGTATCGTTAAAAAAAAACCATTACACATAACATATCACACTTCACAAACAGAAAAGCACAGAACACGGACACGGTCGGATGGGTACGGATGAGACACACACAGGAGCCAAGTGTAAAAAACTATAAGTAATATCAATGTTTTAAAGCAAAATCTAAATGGATGCAGCCAAGAGCACAAAAAGCCAAGCAGACAAAGTACTAAGCGTAATCATGCTACCACAGGGGGGAAAAAAAAAATCACAGTTACCACATGAACAGAGATAACTTGCACACAACAACTACACTTGGAAGCCTGGATAATGTGAACATAAGTATCGTTGAACCAACTTTTATTTTTCCTTCATGCATATGTGAGGTAAACACTCGAGTATAGACCCACTGTTCTAGCCATTTAGCTTTCGAATAAATATAAAAACATGTAATAAAATGATGTATTGGTTGTTGGGTTGAATTGAATCGTTAACAGCAAGGTTTGTTTTTTTTTTCATTTCTGTGTCTCAGTTGTAAAAGTGTAAAGTTAAATGTCGGAAGCGACACAATTGATGCCAGATATGCAGTCTTTAAACTAGGTCAGCTGACTTATGCCAGGGCAACCTAATGCCATTAAGCACCTGACAGTAAGAACACTGGTGAAAATAAATCCAGCCCGAGCCCATGAGGCTGTCAGGGATGGTGCACGGTGCTTTCCCAGCAGGAAATGAGAGGAACAGAGTGAGGGGGGTGGACACTAAATCCTCTGTGAGTGGGCAAAGGGAGGGATGCTGTCTGTGTCCCAGTGACCTACCACTGAAAAGAAGTGAAGGTTTGTGCTGGTTTACTGCTGAAAAAAAACATAACTTTTTGGAAGGGGGTGGAGGGGCAGAGAGGAAAAAACAGGATGGCAAAACGTGATCTGTTGGCAAATGTTTTATGGCTAAGTATGAGTTCTATCCTTCTACTTCCATGTAGTCCATGAGCGGATTTTTAGCATTTCTTAGAGAGGACACTAAAACACAGGCAGAGGCAGAAAAGGTGCAAAGCAGGTATTGTGAAAGCTTCTCCACACACATTTGAAATGGTTTGGTGGTTGGCATGTGTAACTTTTTACATGTAAATGTGCTGCTCGTTATTGGTTGGCCTAAGACACCCACTAATTAGGAAAGCTTTAATTCCTCTTTTAGTTGGCAGACTGCATTTTAGCAATGGTATGGGGTCACAGCGTTGCTGCTGGGGGGTCCAGCTGATCCTGTGGTTGGAGTTGGCCAAGTTGTACAGAATTTCAGCCCATTTTTCTCTCTTTGAACTTGGCCCTTGTTTATGGTCTCCAAATTTAGATGTTCATCATTTAAAATTCCTAAAAGCAGAAGTCATGCCAGCTTTAGATACATGGTCCTTGGTCAGTCCTTCTCTTTATACATCCATTTGGTAACAGCAGGGCACACTACAGAAAGTTCATGTGACTGCTTGTGCTCAAGATAAGAGGATTGGAGTGGTACAGAACAGCTTATCCAGATCTTGGGATACCACAAGATTTTAGGTTGGCAGAGGTGCAAGAAGGAAGATTGTCTTGCACAGTAATAAATAAATAAACTCTGAATCAATTTTACTCACTCCAATCATCCAGTGTACCTGACAGAGCACCTGGAATTATAAATGAGGGTTTGAATCAGAGCTGAATCTCAGTTGTTCTGTGCCATGTGAGGGCTCTGCAGAGTGAGCAAAGGGACTGGGATAAGAGATTCATTTGCATTACTAAAGACAGTATTTGAACTCAGGAAGAAAAGGTGACACACTAATTCCTTCATTATCTATGCCTTTCTATCTTGTATTTTAAAGTGCAAAGTAATCAGCCTAAATGATGAGAAAAAACAGTATTATTGTTGAGGCAGCTTTAAAAACATGTCACTGTATTGTCCTATTTTAAATCAGGAAACTTTTTGTAACGTGGTTACTTTATAGCATGGACTGATAAGGTGACATTCTCTGCAAAGCTACATATTATTTCTGCTGTCTAAACACAAAAACCAGTCCAGCTCTTTCAGGTGCAGCTGAATCAATTAGAGCTTTTCAACTAACAAAATCACTTAATTGTCTTGAATACAGCCACTTCTTATTGCACAGGTATAGGTTCTATTTGCCAGCTGGGTTCTTTTCAGTGAAGGTAAATTTTTACCTACATAAAAAGGTTTGATATTATGCTTGAACAGGTCCAGCAGAACCCAATGAAAGTGCAGCTTTTCTTCAAGTTGCACAGTGTCTTTAAGTCTCTGTGTTTAACAAGGGAGGAACCAAATTGAATTTGTGAGGCTTCACGTCCTGTGGTAGAGAAAGCACACACATCTGCTTTTAATACCAAAATTTGGCATCTAATTTATATTTAACACCAAGTCTTTAGTCAGTCTAGGTAGCTGACTAACACCTTACACAGTTGAGTGAAAACTATAGATTCTGGCTGTATTTAAAGGCAGTTATGAAAAGGTGCCTGCCCTGCCCTGAATTTGGAACTAATGGGCCATTGTAAGAAAACACCAAACTCACGTGTTTTGCTCAGATGTGTCTGAAGGTGGAACTGCAGAATGTACCACCAGCCATCAGTCCCTCACCGTGTGTGAAGACCTGTGGCAAAATTTTGGCCTGGACTGTTTGAATCTTGCAGGAACATTTGGGTGTTCCTAGAATAAGTTCTATTTGTTCACATTGATTTTCACTGGAAATATTAGCTTAGAACTGGTTCAGATCTACTGATACCTAAGATGGTAAGTCTGAACACAATGGTAATGTAAGGGCCAAACTTTGGCCTTAGATTTCTAAATATTTTTCCTCACTAGGGAGGTGTAGAATCCCAGCTTCTTCTCTTAAAATTTCTCTGCAGTTTCAGAGGTGTGTATTTGTTTTCCATTAATTTTTCCTGTGAGGAGAAACTCCCTCCTCAACTTTAAATGCTGCATATTTAGCTTGGCATCTAGAAGAAAAAAAATCTATTTTTTTCAGTGTCACACCTCACTGAGTGACAGAATTTCTGCATTACAACGTAGTTCAAAACCTCATTCATAGCCTGTCCCCCAGTTCATCAAATTACTGCTTACAGGGACAAAACTTACTTCTTTTGTTTGTGGAAATGAAAGTAGAGGTTTTGCTGGCATATAAAGGTGGCATTTTAACTTCTGTCTCATCATTTAATATCTAATACTGCCATATTTAATTTTCCTCTTATGCGTAATGCTAGTCCCATATTTAAGAAAAAAATATTATTTACCCAGAGTTCCATGGCCCAACAGCAACAAATTCTTTTCATACATGCTTGAGTTCAAGATCTGAAATAATACCTAGTGTAAAATGTTCAGGGTCTCTGCTGAAACGAAGCCCATATTATTTTTTAAATTTTTTTTGAAGATAAGATAAAATAAAGCAGATGAGCTTGATCCAATGTTTTTTATGGCTGTACAGCATGTAAAAGCAGGGACATACCCATGATGGATAGAACCCAGGGAGGGTTGGTTTAGTATGAACTGTGTAGAGTTCATGTAATGGTATCTCTTCATGGTGCTGACAATGCCAAGGGAAGACAAACAGTGTGATACAACTCCCTTTTCTCACAGTAATGGAGACAACAGAAAAAAAAATGAACTGCTTTTAAACAAAAGACTGTGGGGACAACACTTCAGGACATTTTTGACACTGCTATAAGTTTCCACTTCTTTCTTCTCTGGAGCTGTAACAGAAAAAACTCTTCAGTTTCATCCCACCTTGAAAGTCAGATTTATTATACTGCATCAGGCAAGAAAAAAAAAAAAAGAAAAAAAAAAGAAATAGAATTTTAGATACTACAAATTTTTTCCCTTTAGAAGAAAAAGATGATATTCAGAATCTCATTCCTAAGCACAACCAACTAGGCAAAATATACCAAGCCTGTTAAGCATCAACAGATACATTATGGTTGGTAGTGTGTGGGCTTATACTCGAATGTTTACCTGGCTTTATATAAGCCAAGTATCTTGAGTTTGGTTCACATTCATTTCAGGCTCAAGGTTAAAGACTCACAACCTCTTTTTATTTCACTCTCTCCTGCTGAACCCTTTTGTCCAATGTTCTCTAGCCCTCTGGGAAAACAAACACATTTAATATTCAGACAGTAGAGAGTAGGGCACTGCAACAGCAAATAAATTCAATACTGAAAGGTCAGTAAGGTGATTAGTATAAAATTGTAAACAAGAGGTCAATTTTGTAAAGAGATGCCAACTCGTATGTGTAACTGATACTATTCTATATCAAGGTTATATAAAGGTATACCCTGTACAAAGGTAAAGGAGTTTGGTCAAGTACTATTGCAGAGGTAAAGCTTTGAAATAGAAAACATCTTCAGTGTATTTGTGTTTGTTTATTTTTGAGTCCTCCCAGTTTTAGGTGAGTAAAATAAGATTAGGTATCCACAGGAGGAGATACTGCATGTATTGGAGTCACCTGTAAGTGTTGTGGCCAGTATGTTCTGGATAGTGTGATGCAGAAGTTGAGTAAATTCAAATATAAAGTAAAAAAAAAACCCAAACGACAAATTTTAGAAAAATTATGATTTCTAGGTTTCTGTTTTAACGAGTGAAAGAGATGCATAAAATTGTC